CGAGTAAAGTTTGACCCATATACACATCAAATTAATGAAAAATAGTAGTCTAAAATGTTTGACCCTTTCGTTTAAAGGAAAATGAACACAAAATTCCTCGGATTTATCGGATTTTATGATCTGGGGCTTCAGAGTACATGTAGAAAGCAGAAAATGAGGTAGATTAATTTAAGAATAATTGTTTTGCAGATCACATTATGTCTACTACTGGAGGCAATGAAAACTGTTGCATTTAATAGACGAAGTAATTAACGAAAATGTGCACCTAAAACATAATTGTGAATAGGTGGTTTGACCTTTTGGCAACTTGGTCATGTTGTCATGGCGACATCAGTAAACTTACCCTGTCCGAAGACCGGGGGTGGGAGTAACGATAAAGTTAAATTCTCTTTGCCATAGCAATAGACTAGAAAAATTATTAAGGTTGTTTGACCTTGTTTTCGCAACTTGGTCACATTGGTAGGAAGACTTAGAGGAACGCAACTTGTCCGGAGTACATTGTATGAATGATCATTTCCAGAGTCAGGGTAGGACCGTGGACGTGGTAAATTCCCAGACGTTTCGCCGGCGTCGTAGTCGGCATCGTCAGTGAGTCTCGCCATTCGTAGCATGGTACAACTTGTCAAAGAGACAAGTGAAGCCCATCCTTTGACCAAACCTATGCTAAACAGTTGTGGTATCTCCCCTTCTGCTCTGGGCTATTCACATTTCCTATATCCTCCAATCACGCTATCACTGATACAATTGTTACCGTGCCTTTTTTGATGTAGTATGGTGTGCTCCTTTGAGCGGAATTCACGAAAACACTTCACACTTTACGCTGTCGTTATCACCCCTTCACCCTGTACTGGGAATGTTGATCACATTCTGCCATATTGTTACACAGTCCTCCTTCCTTAGGTCTTATCACAGTCTCTCTCTTGCCCCGTTAGATCCATCTGCTCTCTCCCTGGTTCACGTATTACACTCTACCCCTGCAACCCCATCTGTGCTACTCGAGTCGTTATTCGCCCTACTACTTCGAGGCTAAAGTCTCTGAGTAAGGCTCATAGTCAAGCCTTTGCTACATGGACCACGTCTATGGTACAACATATGCGAAGAAAAGTTGGGTTTCGAGGAATCTCTTGTTTCATAATTGTTGAGCTTACTTCCATTTCGAGTCTATGAAGAAAAGTTGGGTTTCGAGGAATCTCTTGTTTCATAGTTGTTGGGATTACTTCCATTTCGAGTAGGTGAGCTGTGCAAATAAATATGAAGAAAAGTTAGGTTTCGAGGAATCTCTTGTTTCATAATTGTTGAGCTTACTTCCATTTCGAGTGAAAGTGTTTGCACATACAAATACAAAAACAGACACACTCACATGCATCGAAGTTGACATATGACCTGAACTAACCAAATCACTTTATACCAATAGACTCTGAACAAGAAGTGTGTTCACACTATGTCACTTAAGGGGATGAAGAAAAGCCAAAGTAGTTAAATTGCCCCATAAACATATGCATATGTCTGGATGAGAATACCATTTGGGAAGCAAGGCTGAGTGAACTTCAACGGAAACATGGGAAAATTCAACAACCAATCCTTCATCACCTTGAACAAAATATAATGAACAAATATCTTGTTATTG